GATAGCATCGTCTGCCTTGCTAGCTAATCCTTTCAGGGGCGTGTCCAGAAACATGGACAGCATTACCCGCAACGGCACTGGGAGGCGTGCAAACCATAGTTTCTTTACTCCTTCTTAGCATAAGACTAAAGGACCAACGATGCGATGAAGTTCGCTAGCAACGTCGACAGTTTGTGATCTCACGGCTTGAAATCATTGAGCTGTTCAAATCGAGCTTGTGATCTGGGCTGTATGTATTTTAGAATAGCTAGCATCAACGTTTCATACTTTCATACTTAGCCTCATTCAATAGGCAGGGCAGAATGTCCTCAACCAGTGTCACAACCGACGAAGGAAGGCGTGGGACTAGCCGATTGTACCTCGGACGGTCCGTTTAATGCTTTTATATGCCAGTTCGATCTCGAATATCGCAAACAAAAACCTCCGGGCTGTGTTAGATGAAACTATTAAAATTACGCTAACAACAAATGGAAGCAAGTATATAATCGAGAAAAAGGAACACACTCAGAACAACATACGTACGACGAAAATAGTTTGATTTCGCGCGTGCGAATCGGGTCACCAATTTGTAGGACTAGTACGTACTACTCGGAGCCGGTGCGCGAAATTAAGCGCGGATAAAGGAAGGCAATTGTACTCGGACACAGCGGACTTTATTTGATGAGCTACAAGAAGACGCGGACGGATGAAGCAAGACAAGAGCAACACATCGGCGCGGGAACTTACAAAACGGTCAACTGTCGAGCCGAGTGTAGGTCAACAAGGACGTAACGTACGGGAGATCAACACAAGAAAGATTAGTGTATAACTGGTCATCAGCGAATTGTGCACAAAAGATAATAGTTATCTTTTGGGTCGCTACACAATCCTTTTGAAGTAACTTGGAATATTACCACGACCTGGACACTGTTATGTCATATTTTCGTGAGGGGGATCACTTGAAGATACATTCAAAGATAGCCCAGATAATGTCTTGTGTGTGTAATTCTACCACTTCACCTAATGTACTTATTCCTCAGAGTCTACAGCATACTCAAACTGCAAACTCGTCTCCTAACATCGCATAAGGTAAACAGTTGTCGCAAATATTTTGCCAGGAATACAGACAAATATAGGATAACTTGATATCGCTCTTGCAAGCGTATGCCATCACCTGCGCGTATTTGCTCTGTGTCAAGAATTGTGACAGCTTTTCTGTTGATGAGAAATGTACCCATTATGCTTATTATTACTATTATTATTCGCATGCAGTATATGGTTTCGACCAGAGGCAGTACTAACCTGGATCCTAACTGTGCCACTGGAACTGTGCCCCGTGGACCGCTCACACATTGTGTGCCCGCTAGGTTTCAGACTGCTTGGACAAGCACTGGCAATTGGACACAGAAACAGCGGCTACCGACCGTGTCAGCACGCGAACCAATGGTAATTATTTCCGCCAAAGTACCTTTTAAAAACTGCAAAGGGTGAACTCTCAAGCACCCCATCCTAGTTTGACCAGTTTCAGGCATACACGCTGCTCGTGACCTCTAGCACCGACATTCTCGTCCCTGTCTGCCGTCCATTAATACCATTTGTCAAACTGCTTGGAAGCATACCTAAACGCACCCCCATCCCTCATAGACGCATACATCTTGCCCAGTGCTTACATCCAGGGTGTCCCATTGACTAACGTCCCATGCCCAATGAGAATTTCACCGACAGTGTGTGCATGTAGCCACCCAGGGAAATACTGATTACATGCGCAAGTGAACTTGCATGAATCAATGTGCTATGGAGTTGTTAACATGCTAACTTATTAGCACTATGCGTGAACTAGCATGTAAAAAGTTTTGAAATTGTCATTACTTCCATTGGCCTGTAAACCCATTGTCTAATGTCTCGTGTTATTTCTTGCGATATTCACCCTACTTTGCCATAAAATGCTAAGCTAGTTGTGCACGGATTCCCATGAGCTGAAGAAGCTCTTGCGTCCAGAGCGAAACGCTGCCATGATAGAAACCTACAAAAACTGATTTGGATTTAAAAGCTTGTGAAATCATGAGATCCCAGTCGCTTCCAAGCGTACTCCAATATATTGAAAGCATTGGTATGTTCCAAGTTTTTACACCCCCAAGGTTGTGCAAAAACTTGCAAAGTTGGATAAATTGGCTGTTAAACGAATTTAACGCCTCTGAACTAATTAGCGCCTTGTCGCATATATTAATACTTGAGAAAGTTTGTCTCTTCACTACACATATGATGAGACTAGTATATCTTTGAACTCTGATTTTCGGAAAAACTGGCTAAAATTCATGGTAATAGGCGTGATCAACACAGCAGCAGTATCTCTTCAATCTCATCCGGCTACTCAGTATCATTCCGTCCTCGAAAAATAGGACGGAAGTGCCCAGGTGATGTTCAGCCCGTCAAGTCAGTCGCATGCTTGCTTGCACTTACACAATGCAAGAGACGAAACAGTGAGAAAGTGACTGATGTTCACTCCGTAGGACAACTGCTGTTGCATGGACAGATTTGTCGTTACCTATGTGATTGAATACACCAATAGCTTCAGTTCACCTACACCAAAGCAGTAGACGAAGTCCATTTGCCAGTACAGTATGTGGAACACTGGTATGAACTGGTAGGCGGTTCATCAAAGCTCTGCATATATGGATGGCTTTATGTAAAAAATCAATAATATATATTATATTAAAAGAGTAATTGCCTAATAATAATCCAGTATTTAAAGGTGAATTGCAAAACTAGCACAGATTCCCCCTGGAGACGCTGCATTCATGCTGCGCTAGGTCCGATAGTTAAATGTTTGCATCTTCTCGTTTTCGGTTGAAATAGGCCAGTATTTTCTACCAGACAGGAGTCTAAGAGGTTCATTACTGAACATCCAAAACTGGTAACTAAAGAAAGCAGGACCTTGAAAGGACTTACATAAATATGGGGAAATCCACCTTCGGAAATCGTGCCCAATATACTCACAGGTTTCCATCCTTTAACACAATGAATGTATGATACAAACATAGCTACTTATGTACACGCCAACTCCACGTGGCGAAGTGTGCCCTCTCCAATTCTTCCATGGATGACATAGGAGCACAAAACAAAGAACTGACGTATGTCGTTATACTTGATGCAATTTTAGCATCTGGGTTTAATTCGCCAACCTGTTGTTGTTTGGGCACTTATCCGAACCAATGAGTATGTACCTGCCAATCTGTGCTGATGCAGGAGTAGTCAGTCACGAGATCAAGAAAACAGTTTTTATATAATAAAGACAGTGCCATCACTACGGAACTTATTAGTATTGGCACCGATTTCCATGCAGTACATAATGTTAATGTCAAAGCACCGTTTAGAACCTTTGAGTTTCTTGTATTGAACACGCACAGGGAGGATGCTATGGGCACATCACGCTGACATCAAACAAAACTATTATTGCTGGATTAATAAGAATCGCTGTTGCACTGAAGTTGCTTTCAGTATCTAAATTATTCAAAGTACGAACAGTGACCTTTTGGAAAAGTTACTCTGAGTACTTGAAGCTCACGTAGTCTGGCGAGGAATATGTCGTCCCAGTATCATCAACAGGGGCGTTTGTAGTACATTCGTGTTATGGACTGGCTTTTTACCAAAGATGAGCACAATTAGTGAGGAGAGAAAAGATGACTAGCTAACGAGCGCAAAGCAAAGCTGAAGTACCAGTAATCTAAAGGTTGACAATATCGACAACTCACTAACGGCTGGATTGCGTGGGTACCTAAGCTAAACCAGTACGGTCACATTTTTGTAGCCCTCATCATCCCATTAGCAACAGAACATTGCTGATAGGCATCCATGATCAAAGGGTTGAAAGAACTTAAATTGTTTAGGTCGGCGGAACCAAGATTTAATAACGTGGTGGCGATCACCGCTTACTGTTATCCGGTATACAATCTGCTTCATTTTTCACTGATGAAGGCTAGTGATTGTGTTGGCAGTAGCTTACACTAATTGGCGCAACGGGTGACAATGGCGCCGGTCTCATCCTATGGAAAACGGGTGACTCGTTGTTGATGATTGTCAATCGTATGATAACAAACGTTAGGCTGCTAATCACGCATCCTGTTATCGTCTTTAAGTTTTGCAACCTGATGACCAAAAAATACGGTGAATAGGATCGTTAACAGTAACATCACTTGCTGTTAAATCTTACCACGATCCTTTCTTGTTCCGAGTCCTTGAATAGATTCACATACTGATTATGAATTTGGTGATGGAGGGACCTTCCAATCGGCTTTTGCCTTTTCATTCGAACATCGCTCTAACTTTATCTGCTGCGGAGCAAACACTTTTCATTTAACTTCTTGACCTTTTCTTCCGTTAACGTCGTTACAACCTCAATAATGCTGCCATTGGCTGCGTTTTGTATTAGACATTGGTATACGGCGTGTATGGCGCGAAGTACCTAGAAGACTTTTGGAAGTAAGGTACGCTCGTCTGGATCGTGCAACGGGTCCTGGGCCCTGTACCGTCAACATGAGGCAGATTCGGGTTCGTTTATTTGTGTGATACTTGCATTACTAACGCCTTTTTTCCATTTGCAGAATCCTACCTTTGTAATGTGATGTTTAACAAAGTCCGCAGTGGATATTGCAAAATACCCAAAATGCACACTCTAGGGCATCTAAAGTTTATACAGACTTGAGCTGACTCGACTAACAAAAGGCAGTGACTAACACCTAGGATTAAAAGCAAATTAAGTCCGGTTTGAAAGCACGATGTTTAAATGTGTTTCGGCCAGCCGCTTCGTGTTTTAGTGTGTATACTGCCTGACATTTTTATACCTTTTGCAAACACGAAAGTCACCACAGGTGTACCCCATGTGCCAAACTCATGTCGCATTGTACGAATTACCATTTTGTTGAATTAGATTCTAATGACTCTCTGTCAACCGAGTTCAGTTCACAATGCCTGCTTTCATATTTACTGCTCTTTCAAGTCTTCAGGTTGCAAAACTGCGCAATCAGAGTTGTTGGTGAATCATATTAGCGAATTTATACACCGAAAGTAACAGCCAAGAAACCAGTGTAATCATAATGGCATCCAACTACTTGTGGAATACGCATGCTTGAAAATATTTAAGGCATGGCCAAACGCTTTTCGGTTACAACAGGAGACCGAGGACTCTGGATTTACTCTTCACAATTTGATCACTAGCACAAGCTCTACAAAATATTGCATTGCTCGACGAAAACAGCGGTTATGGTATGTGCACTCATTAGAGTGATATTTGCATGGAAGCTGGTTTCATCCGAAACTATTCTAGACGAAGCTCCCCTGGGGGCAGTGGGTAGGCGATCTCAACGGTGAAGTTGGCTGTCTCACTGAATTTTCATCGGATTCTAGCCCTTTTGTGCACCATTCGCTATACATCATGCAATTCGGAAATTGGGGAAATAGTGGATTTGGGGATTTTTCAGTCTTTGGCTCCTTTTCGGAATTCTCAGATGATTGCACTTGATGGTCACCCAAATGGACCTGTTTGTTATCAATGATATTATCATCTGATGAGGAGTTCCAAGTGAAAGCTTCTCTTAGTGGGTCGGGTGGTGATGACTGTCGACTTTTCTGACATTTACTCGGAGTCCCAACGAAACTAACGCAATCGCCTTGACCAGGCAGTAGGTTTACTGCTGTAGTTGTAATATGCCTAGTTGCTTCCGGCGATACTATTACATCCTTGGGACAAGAACAGTGCAGATGCTTGTCTTCCTCCTCCTCTGGACTTTTACCACTGGTTCTTGTATCATCATTTAGGAATTTCTCTTTCTTTCTGTACGTAGAAATGGGTAAAAGCAAGCGTTGATAATCGTTGCCGATTTTATCTTTGGGCGACTTCTCCCAGTTCGATTTGATTAACTGTTGGATGTTTATTGCGTTGACATTGTTGGAGAGCAGTTTCGTTAACTTATCTGTAAGCATGAACGGAACCATTAGTGACGGTGTAAAACACAATCATAGATTTAAGTATATAGATGAGATGTAGACACGCAGAATAGCTATCTAACTTGAGCCGTGTACACTTTTATGCAGTAGAGTTGGCAGAAACATTGTGTGCCAAAATACTTCCTTAGGTAAAAATAGGGATCTATGTACTGATCAATTTACAGACAGAATTACTACCGTTCTTGAAACTCATTCATAATAACATATATTGTGATTTGACCGACAGACGGCTTCCTTTTTATACAACCCCTCAGGAAAGCCCACCTTTTCTCCGAATGTCCTATGCGAACACTTGCACAACCATACATAGTATCGGTTTCCTTTAACTAACACAACTGTATTACTTTCCAAGTTTATTACCAAATGTTGACCTTGCCTACAGCACTACTGTTGTCACCGTAGGTACTGACTGGTGAAATGATAGGATCCAGCGGTTTTGGATCCTAACCCATTTATGCGAAAAACGTACTCAGTAGGATATTCTTTAGGTTTTGCGATGAAATAGCCTCGGTGTCTCTCGTTTACGTATTTTAAGTTTTCTGGAACGCGTTGTCTCGTTTAAGTATGAAGCACAGTCTTAGTTTTGACTGTTACCCCAAAAGGAATTTATATTAGTTTATGCTCACAGATTATCTTTGTGGTAGGCAAGTGTCAGATTTTGCTCGCTCCTAAAACTCCACGCTAAGTCTGGCTTCATCTATTTTGAACTTTTTAGGTGGGCACTGCAGACAAGCAACAAGTTCCACAATACCCAGCAATACTTCCATCTTCTCCAATTCAACTAATACCTGCACAGCTCGGCAGGGTACTGCTGGTATTTACTGGTAATGGGTAAGCTCCGGATTCGTGTCCCCTCCCAGATAAGTCCAAATGAAGCGTTCAACCAAGGATACAAACAGTCGCAGAGTACCGTCTTCGTAGCTAATGTGCTTTACGCACGCGGTAGATTTCGCACATTTACGATCGGTCAAGCCGAAAGTGACTTCTTGTTTTTTGATCGATTGTGTTGATTGAGAGTTTATAACTCGCTTCTGTAATTGGAGTTACGGACTTTATTATTGAATCCATTGGTTACATACTTACGATAAATCAACGTACATTCATTTTTACGTGACTGATTTGCCATAACCGAACAGAATGCGTTGTTTATGGTAGCGTCAAAATAGATTTTGTTATAATCCTACCAGTTAGTAGATTGTCTTTAAATACCGATAGGTACATGTTGACTGGTCAGCGTAATACAGCGGGGAAATTAGGTGAGGATCTATAACTCCCTAGGATAGAAAAGGTATTAGCATGGCCCAACATCTTGAAATATGCTGGGAACCGAAGGAGAACTCGTGATTTCAGAAAGCTTTGAATGCAATTCAGTTTTTGTCTGTTTTTAATTGTAGCTACTTTCCGCTCTTGAAGCAAGTGCGATTTGTATTCAAAACCTGAAACCGGTTGTATAGTTTGTAGGTAAAGTTACAGGTTTTACTTAAAAGCTTCGTCAGACCAAGTGAACCAGTAGATGATTGGTGTAGCACTTATAGCAAATTCGGAAGATAATCGCGATGACTGGGAGATAGCTAGAGTGCTAATCGGGTTACAGGTCACAGTGCCACTTTAGGTGGTGCATGAAAAGGTACCAAGTGGTCCGAGTTACAAAGTCCCACATGTAGGTCCGTCAGTGATGGGTGTGGGGTTGAGTTGGTCTTCAATCTCTGTCCCAGATCAGTTCGCCGATGCTCCCCATACTGGTCGGCTTAAGACAGCCCACCACACGTTCGAGAGCTCCAGCCCGTCCATAACGTGCGTTTTGCTAACCTCAATCGCCTCAGCAGTCAGCGTTGGTAGTGTCGATCTGAACCCCCTCCTAACGATCTCAACGTTATCCAAGCCGACCTCATGAATTGCATCCATCGCGTGCATCGTTACTGCCGAATCCGCTAGCACAGCCATGTAATCAAGCACGTTCCTCAGCAGTCGTGCTATGCACCTTTTGTGTCCTGCTAGCCTTGTGCGCAGCTTTCTTGCGGTTTGGCCTATGCAGACTCCACTGGTTCACTCGGCCTGATGAGGCTTTCCTGTCAAAAGGGAAACGTTGCCCACAAACTATACCGATAGGTTTTTTTAAACTTTTCTGAAATCTTGATATGGTTCTTTAAGCAGGCCCCTAGTAAGAACAAGGCATTACTTTGATTATGCGTTAAATGGCTTTGCGTGACTTATTTTTCAGTTAGCTGTCCCCCATTTCTTGAACAAAGCCACACGTCACTTAAACGCTGGTCTTCTGTAATCGTGTTGACGAGAAAGATGCGCACAGTTTCACTAATCATAGCTATTAGAACAAGATATTCGACTGACCCATATATGGCACAGAACGAGTTATGAGGTAGATGTTGGCTCGGTTGCTAAACTATGCTTAGCTTCAAGGAAGTGCTTAGCTCTGGCTCTCTTAGCTTGTCAATAGGTTCCGAGCAAATCTGGTAACTTTTTCATTTCACCAGAAGCCAACTACTCACTGTCAGTTAGTTAGGTTTCGTTTTATCCTTGGAATCCTATTGCCTTGAAGGATTAATGCAAGGCAGGTAGAAGTTAGATAGATTGCGAAATCTCTTGAATGCGCGAATTTCCCAATGTTTTGTTTGCTTGCTGCTGTTCACGGATATTACTGCACTTCTGACATAAAATTATTTGGCCAACATTGTCTGCCACTGTGAAAAGACACCCTCTGATTATAGAAAGATATGTCGCATTTCTACTAGTTATTGCGTTGTAGCAACTTAGTTAACTCACTGAAATCATAAACGTATCACTGAAAGGATAAGCTAGTTGAAGTGGAAGCTTTTCATACTACGATCTTATCAATTACAGAAACAACAAACAAAACAATCTGGCACACATTCACAACTACAGAGCAAAGCAAACTGCTTATTAATCCGTGAAGTACAAAGATGAGCTTTGGTGATATTTAGTTACTCCGATCCGGAGTATGTGCACAGTGTGCAACAGAACGGAAAAGTAGTTCCTGGTTCAAGAAGGCATTCACTAAATAATTTCTAAGGACGATTTGGTAGTATGTTTCATATGGTTAGACCTTATTAAGCAGAGGTGCCTACGATTACAATTACTGGTAGTCGAATCTGAGGGTCATCTACCCGATGGGTTAACACTTTACTTATGAAACTGCATGCGAATGCTTTTGCATCAGTTATGAAAATATTCAAGTAAATCCCTCCGAGGACAAGACAATCAAGTTGTCAGCTCTCAAGTTAGGATTGTCGGAGGCTACAACAATTATTTTTGATTTAAACCGTTTAGTCTGCATATCCTCTTTGTTCCAGAGATACACATATTCAGTTTTACAAAGTAGTAGAGGGAGTTGAATGGTATAAGTAGAAATTCGTCACATCTAGTCTCACTCAGACAGCCGTCACACGCCCGGAAAAACACTGTACGCGCGTTTCTTCCTTTCGGGAGTCGTCAGCAGTGAGCATTCCATCGGATTCCGATAGGGCTCGAACCCGCAACTCGATTGTTACCAGTCCGTGGTTGCGACCACTGAGCTACGGGGGACGGCAACGACCATCGTGAATAAGTTACTAGATGTGATATAGCGCCGCTCACCATCCACTGACTTACACGTTACTGCAGTGCAGAGGACAGGGTAGCACCCTCATCAAGCGACGAGCTTACCAAACTTAAGCCGCCAATTAACTTATGGCATTATAAGCAGTTTGGTCTGAGCACTGATTACCATTCAACTTCCCTTACTACTATGTAATCAGTACGCAGACCAAACTGCTTATAATGCCATAAGTTAAGTGGCGGCTTAAGTGTGGTAAGCTCGTCGCTTGGTGAGGGGGGCTAAGCTGTCCTCTGCACAACAGTAACGTGTAAGTCAGTGGTTAGTGAGCGGCGCTATATCAGATTTAGTAGCTTATTCACGATGGTCATTGCTGTCCCCCGTAGCTCAGTGGTCTCAACCACGGACTGGTAACAATTGAGTTGCGGGTTCGAGCCCTATCGGAATCCGATGGAATGCTCACTGCTGATGATTCCCGAAAGGATGAAACGCGCGTACAGTGTTTTTCCGGGCGCGTAACGGCTGTCTGAGTGAGACTAGATGTGACGAAGTTCTACCTATATTTAGTTTTACATGAAGCAAGGCGAAGGTACACAATGTCGATGTGTGATATCACGAAGTTGAAGGGTGTCAGTCTCACATGGCCATTTTGTTATCCACGGTACAGATCACTGTCTTTCCTATTCACCCATAAACTTTCATACCTGTTGTTTCCATCAACTACATGCCTTTACCAACAAATGGTATTAACACGACGGAGGTCTATTTCTATGTTGTTAACCTTAAACTAAGACATCTCTAATGTACCAGCTATTGAGGGCATTCACCAGTTTCTTCCATACAGATTGATTTCACGAGGCTTGATTACTTCCCAACCAGAGGTTACGCTTGTGGACAGACTCCATCGCAAAGGTCACAAATTCGATCCAGTCTGCGGTTCCAACTACTACCTACTTTGCTTTAAACTAATGTAATGAGCCGCGTCCTGATAAACTTAGCTACGCAGATTACAATGATAAACTAGGTAGCGGCTGATAGATCGTACTGTGTGCTTCAAATGGTACACCTACGAGTAACATTTTATTGTTGGTCCAATCAAGCGGCTTGTGTAGGCCATTGTATGGCCGCTCAGATAATGATCGCCGCGGCCTGATAATTTGTCTGACTGCCATAAAGCTGTTGAACGAATAATTGTTTCTGGCTAACAATGAATATTCCTGAAGGTGGTCGAATTCGCCAAACTTGGGAGGGAAAGTTTCAGTACAGAGGAATACTGGGTGTTGCCCGCCGGAAGCACCGCACTTTACGGCTGGTTCCGTAATTATTCGTTTCCGTCATGTGGACACAGCAGGATTGTGACTCGAACCCTCCACATGTGCGATCCCAGCGGAAACCTTTACTAATTTGGCCACCGAATCTAGGTGGGCAATACTTGTCACTATGGTTAATGGGGTCATTTTCAAATAATCATTGTAGAAATGGATTGCCACGCGCATTATCACTTGTCTTCTACATCGAATTTTATTTGTTTTCCGGATTTCTGCTTTCCCATTTAATAGTCATCAGTTCGGTTTTCTTCTTCAACGTATTTCCCTTGAATACCCCGAGATATTACACTCCGCCCTAAGATATTCACACCTGAACGAATACATTTATTCAGTGCTCTTCTTGGCAGTTCAATTGCCTTTGATTCCATCTCCCACAATGCGCTGTTTCGCCCATCCTCCGCTGTCAGTACCCTCTCATTTCTTCTACCTTACCTAACGTCGTATTCGTCTTCCAGAATCTCAATTCTCAATGGTCTGCGGATTCACCCAGGGCGTGGAAACCGTCAGGGAGATTTAATTTCTCCTTTGCTCCTTATCAAGGCCATTGAGGAAGAAGTACTCAACCCGTCTGGCCCAGAGTGGATTACCCTTAACATGACCAAGCCATCATATCGCTTACGCTGATGATGTCTTACTCTTTGAACGAGGCAGAGCATCCCTGATCGAATACCTAGGTCGATTTAGTGAGGATATACAGCAAGTCGTATGGTCAAAAATCCCATGAAATCGATAATACTGCGGCGCCTTCCAGATACCCTCCATCTAGTCCTCCGTGGAATTCCGGGTACTTGGATTGCCATTCGATTGGAAGGTTAAAATCCCGACTTACTCGCTAGACCATTTCATAGCACCACTGCAAGAGACATATCAAAATCGCATGAAGTCCTACCATCGCATGGACATTGTGTGCACCTGTCTGTTACCATGCCAAACACCGCCTCTGACTAGCAGTGTTCAACCAACAAAACCTCAACTCAATGGATAGGCTGGTCTGCAAAAATGGCAGCGAATCTCCAAAGGCACTGGCGTCACTTTCGTTCACGTAGCGATTGAGGATTCAGGGCTGTGTTCCATGACCTTCCGGTATGATTCCATTGCTTCGGAGGGACTGTACAGTACGCCAAATTGCACTCAACCAACAAATTATCAGCTGGGTAATAAGGGAGCTTTCAGAAGCTATCATCCAGCGCCACGCCATGCAACCCGTGTTCCTAGGGAATCAAGTAGTCTCTGACAAAATTGACGCGAAGGGAACGTAGAACAACTCACTACCACAACCTTTGGATGGATCATTGCTTAGTGGGGTATTTACAACTCCAGCGTCTTACAAATGGATTAGAAGCCTGTAGAGAAAACTTCATAGATTTTATATGAGAGAGACCCAATTTCGGACAGGTGTTCTTTCGAAAAAACTTTGATCGTCCAATGGACTACCACCCTCAAACCCAAACGATCTTCACTACCGAGGCGCATGCGGACAAAGGGAAACACTTTCCGCGTCCTTCAGTCTAGCGCAGTGACCCACAAAGCTCGCTGCAAGAAACACAAGGATGTCGTGAGGGAAGTAGCCAACCCTCTTCGTCGCAATGGGGTCCAAATCATTCCGGAGCCCTGCATCCCAGCGATATCAACGTATATCAAGCTGGATTTAATAGTCTTCTAAAACTCCACTACACACGTACTGAATTTGGCAATATACTACATCTACAGAATGACCCGTAGCTACCAACTAAAAATCAGCAAACACGGTATAGATGCTCATGCGGAACCATAGCCTGCTTTGTGCGCTCGAAATTTCCTATGGCATTAAGCGTCAGGCAGCACCCAATCATCATCAACAACCGGGGTCATATATTCCCAGGCTCCGCTGAGCATGTTATGGCACTGGGTCTCGTCAAAATAAACATATCCGACTAGTGTATATCTACAAAGAGAGGACCCGCTGAAGAGTACGACACCCATATGCGGAGTGCAATGTCGCAGAACAATTTGAGAGGCCACCAGCTCACACTGACCACACACCACGGTCGAGCTACTTGCCGACAAAACATTTCTGCCTTCAGGTAACCAGAATCAAGAACGCTTTACTTCTCACTTTATTTTTGCTCCCACATTAATGATGTTAAAAAATGATTTGACCACACTATATCCCATTCACGGTAAGTGACCTAGTCCGTTTCCATCGGAAGACGAACTTACGCTGTATGTTCACTAGCTCTATCGGACAAGTTGCGGCGAGCAGACCAATATGTGTTCGTTTGAATAACTCGGTGAGTCACCTTAAATCAGAATTCTCTCTTTTTTCTGGCATTTTAAACGATACATTTATACTCCCCAGTTTGGTTATCTTACAGAACTTGTCAAACAATTGCTATCTAGCCCATTATAAATCACTGAGCATTGTTCATCTCATATTAACAACGTACCCTCGTACATTCGCACGCAGTTGCGATCAGATTTTCGTGTTAAACAGGATTACTGTTTCAATATTACGCCAGGACATCGGTCCATCCTCGGCTGATTTAGATAATACGCAGACTTTGGGTCATGCATGAATTTACCGAAAAGATTTGTTCATGGACTACGATTCATTCCGAAATGAAGGCCGGTTAATTCAGTCCATGGGAGTGCACCCACCGTTTAAAAATGACCCTACAAACAAGCAGCAACACATTTGTTTGGTTCACAATGTGCTCCAGTTTTAGATAGCCACTATAGTGAAATATCGACAAGCCAACTGAAATAGTGAATATTGCAAACTGGAGTATTCTACAATGGTAAAGATAATTCACTGACATGATTTGAATTGCACTTGGGACACCTCCACCTTCATGAACCCATGGAGTTGATTGTTTTATGAGGTGCTTGGAACCAGTTCCCTCGACAGTGCTCTCGGCTTAAGCTACACTTTATAAGGCGCATTCATTGTGTCCGTTAAGCAGCACTAACGTACACCAGAACAGTGGCTTAACCCCGTCCCCAGTGCAGTCACCATGCCAGTACTTGCGCGGATGGCCGTGGAATGATTCCCTATATGTTGCGGTTGATTTCATCTGATGCATGAGGCGAAAACACTTAAACCTTAGATGACAAAGTTCAGCGGGTATAACGCATTCAGTACTTCCAAGACATCTACATATGTCTAAGGAGAACGTTCGCTTTGCTTTTTATCCACAGGCACGCCTTAAAAAGCTAATGTCAGAGACTGCTGCGTTAGATTGTGAAGTCTTCCTGATATAAGCACTCTTCTCCTCTTAATTGGGGGAATTTTTCATATTTTCTAGACTGGCTGAAGAAATTCAAGGTAGTAAACCGAGCATCTTGGGCTTCAGTGCATAATAAATGTGATTTTTAAACACGGAGTGAAAGTTCAAAGTTCGCCTTTGAGAGTACTAGGAAAACGCATTTCGTCAAGCGGTTATGATATTCGCTAGCTATGTTCGTTAGCGGATCGTTGTACCAGAGACACTGAGGAGTATACCTTTTGAAAATAATTGCTGCTGATTTGGTAAGAAGCCCCACGAAAGAATTTATGCGAATACCCTATAACGGTTATTTTTAAAATCAGCGATAACAGGGATGGACACCGCAGAAAAGAGTTTTACTCCATTTTCAGCTGTCCAGACTGACCCTACTACCGATTTGTGTAGTTTCATTACCTATTGCCATAACCGAAGATGATAATGAACCGATGTACTTACCTTCATTTGAACGAGGTGCTTCAAGGCTGTTGTGCAGTTCTTCCATACTCGTTGCCGTCCGGTTTAAGGCCGAACGTGGACGCAGTTTTAAGTGTGAATCTAGTTGGGTCCCTCTGTTCTCTGCTCTTGGGTTCGTTGACAGGTATCCACATTTGTTGAGTGGACTTTCCGTCGATTTCGTCATCCCACTGCTTCTTGTTATTACCTTATCTGGGCCAGAGTTACGGCTTTTAGATGCTAAATCATAGTAGTCATTTTGCTGCAAACAAAGTGTTTGGTTTTCCATTATTAAAGGGTTCGGTGAAATTGCAATTGTTCCTGCGGCTTTGCCAAATTGGCATTTCTGCAAACACCATCGGCGCGGGACTGGAACTCGGTAGAATGGTGATTCTGGTGTTATACTTGTGGGTGATTGATAGGCAGGACGGACATCTTGTTCTCCACGTCGGACAATTGCTGGTGATACGCAAAAGGTATTAGCCATTGATGGCCAGTACGAACCGGCTCTTTTCACACATCTCTGCCCTGTTTGTGTCTGTAGCCCTGGGGGCATAATGCTGATTGCTGGGCTGAAAATTGATTTCGGGGACTCAATTGCACGTGAATTGTTTACCCAGGGAGCTGTGAAAATCTGAAATGGTAACCAGAATATTCCGTTTCCGCATGAGAATATTAACTGCAAAATTGGAGGCTACTTCAGTTAATAATTATTAAAGAGCAAGCTGTTATATAAATTATTAAACTACCTGGTTACATACGTATTAGCTTTCAAAGATTAGTATTGCAGGAGTTCTGTGTTCAGAAACTTGATGGGGTTTTTGTACTTCGACCAATAAGTGTCCTCTTTGAAAGGCATTAAACACCGACGCATTTGTGTTGAGGGACTAATGACAGATATCGTTTTATCTCAGTTGAGAATCATTCCACGGACGACAAGCCTAAGTAAGTGAAAGCTAATTGTGCTTGACTGGAACCCCGGATGGGCTGTATTACAAGTCATAGTGTAATGAACACTTGGGAGATGCCATCCTTCATCATCATTATTATGCATGTTGGGGAGAGGCGCGGAACATCTCCACTACTGTGGCACAGTAAAACTCCGTTACCTAGTGGTGAAAGAAGGAAGACAAAAGCGAAAAGCAACGACGGAAACGAATACGTTCGTAAAGAACGCTTGTGAGTTCACGCGGATGGTAGGCGGTCTGACCACGGAGTCACATGAAATAATGGTTTATTTCGACTTTGTCGTTATTCACCCATCTGCTTAAAGTTGAGGCACTGGAGGTAGCATAGATGAGCACAATAGCCTGACTATGTAACAAGTGATGGAAGATCAGCTCATCGAAGGAGTGAACTTTTACTTTAGTATGTCATGTTTGCCGTAAGGCCATTGGCCTGCAATATCCCGAGTATTGGTAAAACGGGACATAGAAGACCTTGGGAGAAAGTAGGGCTAATTCAAATGGTTGGTCGTGGACTTGAGGATACTGCATAGATGAAAACTCCGGGATTGTAACAGCAAATGGTAAGTAGGAACTTCCGAATTATTTGAACCCCATTAATGCGAAACTGAATTTTACAATGGAAACAGAATTTTATGTGGCACACTGCCATTCCTTGATTGCCTAGTTCACAGAAAGGGAGGACGGCTGAAGATAACGATACATTACCAACAGGCAGATATTAATGGTATACCCCATTGAAGTTCGAGTAATGCGAAACACTTCTGTGCTGCTATCGCATGGCGTCTGTTTCACAAGATTCAGGCTCTGTGTACAGACGAGAACGATAGGAAGATCGTGCTGAAAAATGCAGGAGATATCCTTGACTTTAGTGAAATGTTAGTTGCAATGAGCTCCACACCTACCTTCATAAAGAACCACGGAGTGGATTGGGACAGTGGGAGTCCTTTATGGATAGGGTACTTCTGAATCCATCAAGCGATTTGTAAACAACGAAAAATATGGGTCTTTTTCCAAGGGCGCTACTTTGAGTGATGTGATGGCGGATAGCAACTAGGGAAACAATTATAAAAATTGCACACACGTGCACAAAGGTCACAGAGCGAGAGAGCTACACACAAGGATAGGTTCACACAAGATGCAAATTTCGCGTCCACTGGTAGATAAATCTAAATATGGGGCCTTGCGAAGAGTTTCAGCGGGGTGGTACACGCGCTGAGCATGGGACACGAAATCGTCTGGAACAGTGTTGTGATCCTGAAAACAAACAACCAGCCAAATGTTGCTTACTGAGGCGGCGGAAATCGCCAAGACTAGTTGCTGCGATGAGCGAATACACATGATGTGGATGTCAACCGAGTGGCCAGCTGTCTTAACCCGGTCAGACTGAACTAGACGGGAACTTCGAACCCACATCATTATATTCAACAGCAACGAGAACAAGATTGACTCACAGATGAACAACCAAAGTTGCGGATCACTGGGGAACGTTCCACGGTTTTCGTAACACTAGAATAACCTTTCAGCTCTATGAAATGTAACGGTACTTATCCTATGATGCGTATTTTTCCCACTTATTACCCCAATGTGCCAAGGAAGCTAAGGCTGATGAAGCTACTGATTCAAGAGCGAGACATTGTTATACTACAAGCCCGAAGGACAGATTTATATTTTAAATCTTCCGAATTTATAACCCGTCAATTGCAAGTTTATTTCGATGTGGTGGAATAAATTATTTAGTTTTTAATGTGAATCGACACTGAAATATTATTTGTTATGGAAGCCAACCGGAAGTGGTGGGCACAATAAAGCTCTTAAGCACTATTAATTTCGGCTCTTCCCCATTTCAACTAGCGTATCCAAATAAACTTGTTCAGTGTCTTCGGGACTCAAACCCGGCAGTCGAGGGAGTGTGCAGTCTTGAGTAGGTTGTACATTCACACTACGCACCTTAGAAGACGAGTGTTCCTATGCGGAATGTGTAAAACAGAAGTTTATATCTGCTTGTTCGGAAACTAATTTCACTTTTCCCGATGAAAATAAAAAGCGAGTTTTTATACTGAATGAATATTTTCTTAAAGGTTATATTCCCAATTCTGATCCAATACATTTTGACCTCTTTCTGATACTAACATGATTCTATGCTCATAAGTTGCTTTCCTTTGCTGGCAAAAGTGAGTGCAGGTGATGTTTGACCTCCCTATTGTTGGTAAAGGTTTGGCCGTGTAAAAATTCTGCAAAGTTGGGAACAAATAATAATCAGAAGATGACAGATCTGGAGAATATGGTGCATGTGGTAACACATCCCATCCAAGCTGTAATAGCTTTTGACGAGTAACCAAACTTGTATGAAGTCTCGCATTATCTTGGTGGAACACTACACATTTTCTATTGATTAATTCTGGACTTTTCTGTTTAAGTGAATCCTTCATTTTGTCTAGCTACTGACAGTACACTTCGAAAGTGATCGTCCTGTCGCCCGGTAGAAGCTCAACATACGCAATTCCTTTGAAATCCCAACAAACAGACAGCATCACCTTTTTTGATGACTATCGACTTCCGAAGTGGTTTGAGCCGGTACATTTTTTAATCCATGATCTCTCGCTTTTAAGATTATCGTAGACAAGCCTTTTCTCATCCCCACTGATAATGTGCTCCAAAAATGGATCATTTTTGGACGTTTGAGAAGTAAATCACAGACACGAACAGGACGATAAGACTTGCTTATATTCAGAACATGAGGAACCCATATTTCGAACATTGCAATTAAACCTAGGTGCTTCAGATGATCATGAACATTCAAGTTCGATAAATTTAATCTCTCAGTGAACTCACGAATTGTTAGTCGCAGGTTTGCATCAAGTAATAGAAATTAACCAAATAATTACTGCCAGTTTTAAAATATTGATTAATGCAACTAATTATTTAATGCTGGGCTGAAATTTTGCAAACCAGTTTTAGCATTGGCTTGCTGTCATTACATTTCCATAAGCATCGGATAACTTTCTCATGGTGGAACAGCATTTTTACCTTTTCGATAGTAGTAAAATAAAGTATGCCGAAAATAATGCTTTCCACTCTCCATATTTGAAAGAGCGCCAAATAAAAATTGCTGCGTAGAATCAGTCGAACTTTTACACAAGCAAGCCTCGCTATATCAGTTATCAAAATAAAAAAGGCGGCAAAAGTGTGAAGCTGGTTGTGACAAAATACACTCAAATCCTATGTTGGGAAAAAATGAACGTACTTTCCAAACAACCTGATACTTTACTTTGCTTGTGCGTTTGGTTCGCCCACTGCCTCGATGGGTCTACTACCCTGACAAATTATTAACTTAAAAGAGCGTACTTATTCGCCTTAGTGAAGAGCGAAGCTTGTTTTACATAGCTATTGCACATGAGATCATTGCAAACATCCATCTTTCGAAGTCTAGTATCTTATTAGCTAGGTCTGAGTTTCCAACTTTATTCAATGTCAAAAAGGTAGACACTGGAGAAATTTTTCTCGTCAAACGAACTTCTTGTTGCATCCAGCATACATACCGCTACGTTCCCAATCCCCGCGGTCGAATACTGAAACTGCACCAGCAACGGTCTGATAGGATTAAGACGGAAACCCGTCTGTCGCGCCGAGTTATAGATCGCTGGAATTCGCTTCCAGATTACGTGGTTAGGGAACCGTCGGTGAAGGATTTAGCGCGCCAGCTCGATGCTCTTGTGTGGCAACACCAAATCTTTCCTTTTTCCTGCCTGACTCACTTTTGCTTTTCAGTTCATTTTTAATGACTCAAAGATCTTGTTAGTCCACCTCCTTAGCTCTTTCCACTTTCTCTTTTGACTTCTGAGTTTACTCTTTTCTGTCCCTTACTTCAAATAACCGGCCCAGCAGTGACTGCTAGGACAGGATACGTGGGCAATAATTCGTTGGTCAGGATGTGATGCGGTCTTTGTTTTAGGTCTATCAGTATTTCAAAGTCTGCCAACTCCTGGTTCAACAACCCACTGAAGAAGGAACACTCACTTGATAATTCTATCGTTCCAGTCCCGCATGAACTTGTACTTCAACTTACCGGGATATTTCGGGGTTTCTATCTGGATCGGTCGCAGAGCCAATCACGGTTAAGGTTGTACAACAGATTTTAAACGAAACACCTAAACTGTAGTAGACAGTGAATGTTAATTTGCTTGCCATTATTGCATGAGCAAGTTAATACAAAAACATTCTGTTACAAGAGAGCTGGTTGTATACTGATGTGAAAAACGCTGTAATTCAACTTGTTGGTTATTTTCCCATCCGGTCTGACTGTTCCGGAAAGCCCCTCTTTCGTGGTGGCGGCGTTATAAGTTACATTAATCAAACCTGGTGCAATGCAGCATACGTAATATTTATGTATTGAACGCTTTCTATACACTGTCATTTACTTGAATGCAAACCGAAGTTCTTAAGTGGTTTTTGATCAGTTATCGCTGGAAAGGTATATATTGTCCCTGACACATCGGCATCGAACTTAAAGCTGTGTGAGGACCAACTTTCTTCAACGCCACTGCTTAACTTAGATTGTTCAATCTGTATTGTTGCTGGCGACTTCAATAGAAAGGATGCAACATTAGCGGAGACACTAGGCTTGGTAGACCTAGTGACTGTTTCGATCAGACAAGATGCCCAGTTGGACGCTGTGTTCAGAATTAAATGACAGTTGTTTGCCATATAAAAGCGGGCTCTTTTAACCAGCTCAGACCATTTTAGGTTAAAACTGTTTCCAATCATATACAGCAGGTCTAATTATTTAATGCTGACCAAACGTCCTTAAAAGATTAGCAAACGGCTAAATAGCTACTTGGAAAATATCACGAGGCTCAAGGAGATGTTGCTGTTACCAGATTTTTCGGTCTTCAACGACGAGGACCTGTCGCTCGAATGTGAAGATCTTACGGCCTGTAAGTGCAAGAATGCTACCCGTGTCAAAAGCTTAATCACAGCAATTAAATAAGAGGTAAAAAGCTAAGCCAAATATACATCGAAGCAGTTCTAGGCAACCAGAACTGTCGCTTTCTACCGGGGCTTCTGAGACAGCTCGGTGGTAAGAGCGATTGCAGCCGGAGTGGTAAAGAGGATGTGAATAAACTGAATTCGTATTTTAGTACCGTGTCACAAAGCTCATCTTCATTTCCCTCTTTCATCAGCTCAAGTCCAGCCGCGCCCTTCGATCAAAGCAACGTTCACAGGGAACTCAAAAGGTTAAAGGCAAACAAAGCTTGTTGTCCGGGTGTTTTCTCACCATCAGTTTTGAAGGAGTTGGCTGTATTTCTCATACTGTCTTTAACAGAGCTCTTTAACAAATGCTTCACTACGGGTGTGATTCCGGACATTTGGAGAACGACCAGTATCACTCCAGTACCAAAAAATGAATCACAAAAGTAGCGCCCAATTATATGTACATCTACGCTCCTAAATGTTTTCGAAAGGCCGTTAAGTCTGCAGATTTTCCAGCTGCTCCCGAAGACGATATCTACCAGTTCGCGTATAAACCCCAGCTCTCCACGTTGGATGCAGAGGCATATCTTGTTTATTCTATAGCCTCTGCATTAGATCAAAAATGTAAATTCGTACGGCTTCTATTCCTGGATTATTCGGATGCCTTTGGAAGCCTGAATAGAGCAATGTTGATAAACCTGCTATCCGGAAATGGAGTTCACCCTGGTGTGCGTAATCTGTTACCTGACTATTTCGAAGATCGTACTCACTTCACCAAGTCGAACGGTAAGATATACTCTGTTCTCCGTACCGACTGCGGTTGTTCTACAGGAAGCAATCGTATCAACTTTTCTATTTTCCTTGTATTTTGAACATCTCCCTATACAAAACACTATATACAAATCATTGTATATGCTGATGATGTTGTGCTGGGATATATGTCCCCCTTAACCAGGATTCTTCATCACTTCAACGTGGGTTGGAATATCTGGTGGAATAGTCTTCACCCAGACCACTTACGCTTAATGCTTCTAAGTGCATTGATGTAATATTTTCTTTTCTCCATGGCGAAGTTGCGGTCTCTGATAGGTTTCTCCCCCACATTTACTATGCATGAAGATCCCAGACCCAGCTGTTCCACCGCCAAGTATCACGACGTCTTTTTGTATCAGAACCTTTCTTGGTGCACGTCTGTCTGTAAAACTTCAAAAAAGTCAGAAAACTTTCATTTCATACCGTCAGAGTTAAGGTGCTTTCAGGACTTCGTACTTTGCTTTTAAGGCTTGTGACCTCTCGGATTATTCCTCTTTAATTATACTGCTCTCCTGTCATATTCCGTGGATTGCTGCAGAAAGACTAGATTTTACTGATGCGATCTATATAGCACACTGCTAGATGCAGCGGCTTGTCTAGAGATTCTTTACTTGATTTGATTATTTCTAAACATCTTGATGCTTGAAATGCTTTTTCTTTTAAGCTGCTAACTGATCGATTCCATCCACTGCCAAATGACCTTTCCAGAAACCTCTGTTTCTCTTCCATTCGTTCGAAAATCAGAATTTTAATCTTCCGCGCGTCAGTGCATCGTAATAGTTTGGCCTTATCTCACGTTTGCTTGTTGACACAGCAAAAGTCACTAACATGCTGCGCGAGCGGTTGGTGGATTACCAGTTCTGTATTTTTCTCATTTGTCTCCCCAAACACGTATCTTGGTATTATCATGCAGGTATCCGCAGAGGTGGTGTAAATGTTGAAAATGAACCAATTAGGGGTCACAAACCTTATTTTGACTTGAGTTGACTTGATACCAAGTAAATCACGTTGCATGCATTCGTTTACAGAGTTAAATCCCCGGAGTATTACAGTTCGATTGTCGACGGCCATCATTTAATCTCAATGTCATGGAGCTAGGGGTAGTTTCATCACTCGGCCGGCGGACAATTAGGTAGTAGTAGTAGTAGTAGTAGTCGGAGATCACCATTGCGTGGGAATTGAAAGCTGTGCTGTAGCATGCATGGTGCGCTGTTTCGAAATATTTGTTGCCGTTTTTACGGTTTACTTTACAATTACAAAATTCACTTCTAGTTTCCTTGGAAGTTCAACCGAATCAAAAGTAGGATGATATCTGAGGCAGTCAGTAAAGCGATATTCTTTAGTTACAAACCCGTACCTGACTGCGCCATTTGAGTGACAACTGTATGCTCTTAAGTACAACCCGTTGTCAGACAGCAGCCTCATTTATATGGAGCGTTCTGCTATTTTCGAGTCAAAGGAATATGCGTAATTTCCATCCAACTAATAATTGTTGCTTGATTGACAAATACATAAGTTTACACAGCTTCGGTTAAATTCTGATAAAGAAACTGAAGTTTGTTCAGAGAATTCCAGATGTAATCTTACTGGTATTTGTATGAATTCCACTCTTCTTACTGACCAGATACAGCTGGTTGTTTTGAGTTTATTGGAAAATGGAAGCTTATTGGAAAATGGACCTGGATGACGCACAGTGGATGCTGCGTGAACCGTACCACGAAGGGTTCACTCTTACTGTTTTCTTGGATCGCGCTTATCCCATCATTTCACAATTCATGACCAGCAGAGCTATCATCAGTTGCGTAAATATATAACGAGCTCGAAAGCCCAAGTGATACAGCGAATGCCAATCAAGAATTTTGTTATAAATCTGGTCCGGACTATGTGGGAAAAGCAAACAACTATGGCATATAAAATAACAGTCGATTAGGACTTGTTTCAGCCGCCTTGTGTAAGATCGTTAAACCAAAAATAGCTTGCACCTCAGAAGACGAGTGTTCCCCGAGAATTCCGCCTGAAAATGATCTCTCCATCTACTGTGGCCAAAAGTGCAAGGGAAAAATAACCATTTAACTGTGGTCACATACCTATTACTTTGCGTACTTCGTTCCCCACTCCGTTAAAGAACATTTAATAATGAGATGCTCATAACAATAGTAAAGCCAAATAAACCTAGACATCTACCCCTCTTCACTATATTAATGTGGAAGCTATGCATCTACCGGACGCTCGGAGCCTCAGACGCCGAGACAATCCGACAATTGTTGTCGTGAAAACACATACTCTTCGCAGACACTATCATGATAACAGATCGCATAAGTCAGTATGCGGTAACGAATTGAAACCCCAATTATCTGTTACTTGAAAGCCATTTGGTAAAGGACACAAATGTATGAACTTTTATCTCGTATCTCCCAAGTAGATGACTATAATGTTCGACGCGGCAACTGGAAATGGGAGTGAGTCTTCGACTGACGATTCTTCTTATTCGTGAGCGCCACTGAAAGCCATCGAACAGCTACCTCAAGTTCACAATTACGCCGTACGAACAAGGCGTGCTGGGATACCAGTCGGTCCAGCTTAAAATAGCAACTAAATGCAACGAAAAAACTGGTCAGTATTGTAAGGATACTCTGATGTGCAAAGCCATTGTGGTTCTAACTAGACACTTTAGATTTCCGTTTAAAATGAAATATATTATATCAGGAATTAAGCATACCTCTGAAAACGACCCCGGGGATTCGTCCACACAGTCCACATGGTCAAACGGCTTGTCTGCATAGAGAGAGAAGAGGGCAAGATTTTGCACATGCAGATGTGGTCTTAAAGGTGAACTGTATACAAGCTGTTCAAAAGGGCTCGTATTTTGGAAAGCAGCGTGCTTTATTCTATTACGATATTCAATCATTTAACTTGCAGGTACACGGGCTGTAACAGAAAAAGCGTGCTAACGAATATCATTTGTCCAAGCTAGAATATAATTTTTAAAGTATAAGTACTTGTTTCGAAGTGGCTCAGCCTTACTTCCTTATGATGCAACTCCGTCAGGTACCCACCGATAACCGGAGAGTGTCACGTAGTCGTTCGCCTTTCCAGAGCTGGCTATCAGAGTTTTTTGTTACCCGAGGCACTCAAAAGTGGTACCCAAACTATTGCAAATAAAGACTCAACCTTAAACGGGATGTCATTATTATTCATGCTGTAAAATTGCAGTTCCGTTTAGCCTTGATTTCTCATGCTGGACTGAGTTAACAACGCAATGTCTAATGCAACCACTGTTACATCCATTTAGGGCGAACAAGCGACAATGAAACTAACGAAGCTAGGCTGAAAGTCAGGCGATGACAGATGTGTTTGGAAGATTACAGTCATCCTGGTGTATGATGAGCGGAACTATCCCCAAAAAGCTTAGTAATTCACAATCAATTACATGTATAGGGGTTGGGGAACCGTGTAGTAGGCGAAAACCGGTTTAGACCTGTGGCGTAAGTACGCTGAACCAGCTGCGATGGGATGAGCGCGGTGGAAACAAAACCACGTAGGGTTTAACAGTTTAGACGAGCATGCCCATTATTACGTCTGTGCTTGCTATCGGTCTCTAACCCAGTAGGAAATTGAGCCTCGAGGTGGATTGGAGCGGAACGTATAACGCGAATGTCGGCATCGCTGTTTACGATCAGCCAGCCGGACTTTAACACGACGGATGAAACTCCACCATCAATGACTGCGGCCGATCGATATTTACATAGTTCGACAAAATTCTGAATTCTGCTGCGAATACAAAGTATGTGAGTCGCGTGTGATGCACCCATGGACTTTATGAGGGACATTTGTCAAAAACTGAAAGACTGATGTACAAACGCAGACAAAATGACTACGATGTGAGCTTTTGTGATGGGAAGACGAAATTCTAGGCAGTTATAGGTAGGCTACCTGGATAATGATGAGAATAACTGATAGAAAGCCCATATTTAGGTAATACATTAGAAATAACTAACGTGACGAAGGCGAATTTATCCAAGCATCATAAAAATTATGGAAATGTGGTTCTTAGTAACAAGTACCTAATCAGACGCTTTTGTGTACGTGAACACCTTGTGTTATGATGGGAGCAGAAAGCCGTATTACTGAAGTTGCTTGTTAACGACTTACTGAAAGGCGTGACTCTGCGCCAAACCCTTATCGCTGGCGTTGATCTAAGTTTCTTGCTCATTTAACAACGGTAGTTACTGTAGGCTGCATATATATATATATATATATATGGCGGGAGAGCCTATGGTGCGCTGACCCTGGTGGTAGCTAGATCCTGAGAGATGGTCTACCCATTGCGGCTACTGTTGTGCCATTTGCTCATGTCCTGGGCGCTTCCTCGTGGCGGCCGCTGGGTGGGAGTTGGGTTTCGCCCTTCTCCCTGCTGAGATCCAGGAAACCAACCCGCATGAGTCAGTGAACTGACCATGTGCTAGACCCGCTGCCTTTCAAGTGTTCATTTAATCAAAGGCTTTGGCTGAGGACCCGAGTCTTTGTCCTGTCAGGAGTGAGCGCCCTGGCAGTATCCTAGTCCATCCTCTTCGGAGGTTAGGAAGTGGTCGATGGCCCACTTCCCGTAAAACCTAGCCATGGAAGACAACAGGTCTACGGGTTATAAGCTCACAGCTCGATTGGCGTAGAGCACGAGCGCCACACATTGTCTCTGACGTTAGGAGGGCACCTCCGAGTATTCAATGGTTTGTTACTGCCCGCCTCAAACCAAGCAGCCCCTGGTCAAATTGGTGCAAACCCGCCAAAAACCCACCTGCGTCTGGCCGTGGTCGCAGGTGCGTATCCTACTACGGTCGCAAAACATATATAAACCGTTCCAGTACCTCCAAGACTGCGTGTGACGGCCGTCAAGCAGATCCCAATCTGTCTCTGCAATCACATTCCCGAGCTGGATCTGCTTCCCACTGCCTTGTGGGTCAGGCTATTGAGCCAAAGGCTCCGGGTGGAGTACCTCAAGCAAACCTCCGAAACACAACGACTATCTCGCGAGCGGCTGACTATCAGTGCAATCGTAGGCCTGCACGCAAAGCACTCAGCATCGGGTGCTGGAACGTGCGCGCACTAGTGGACCAGAAATCCAGCGAGCGCCCGGAGCGACGCACTGCACTGGTCGCGATGGAGCTGGCGCGTTACAACATCGATATTGCGGCACTCAGTGAAACCCGGTTCGCTGAGCAAGGTAAGTTGTATGAATCAGGTGCTGGCTACACATTCTACTGGGTGGGCAACGCCGCCTCAGCACCACGTGATCAAGGGGTCGGATCTGCAATATTCGATCGCCTCCATGGCCTGCTGGTGGGTGAACAAACGGGCATCAGCGCGCGACTGATGACTGTTCGCCTACGACTCGGAAGAGGTAAGTTTGCCACTTTTATAAGCAAGTACGGTCCGACCATGTGTTATCCTGATGACACGCGTGATCAGTTCTACACTGAGCTATCCTCCGTGGTACGGTCTGTGCCGAGGAGCAACCGACTATTTCTGCCGGGTGATTTACACGCGCGTTAGGTGTGACGCATCATCGTGGACAGATGTTATCGGTGCGCATGGCATTGGCTCAGAGAATGCGAACGGTGACAGGCTGCTCTCACTGTGTGCCACTCACAGCTTGAGGATCACGAACACTCGGTTTGCACTGGGTGCGAGTGAGATAGCAAGTTGAACGCACCGACGCAGTGCTCATGCTCCCTTGTCCGAATATGTCATCGTACGTCAGCGTGATATGCGTGAAGTGCGCATGACAAGTGTACTGCGTGGAGCTGAGTGTGGCACTGATCACAAGTTGATGCGCACCAAACTGTACATATATTTTCGTAAATCTATGTATTGCACTCTCGCCGTGAATCCGCGTAAATTTAACATTCTCTCCCTCGGTACTTTGGCGAAACGCACTGAACTGAAGAAGGCGATGGCGGCACCCCCGTGTGCTGTGGACTGCATAGCCAAAGTGGGCGACCTGTGGCGCCACATTCGCGACCAGGTGACAGCTGCTGCTGAGGAGACCATCAGGAGCGCAAACTGAAAGCGGCCTGATGGGCTTGATGAGAACAATGCGACTATTGGCGCATTGGTGTCGGAGAAGAATGCAGCATTTGCTGCAAATGTTGCAGACCCCAGTGACTTGGGAAGAGTAGTCAGTTTCGCAAACATCGACGGCGACTGACCCGAGAGCTCCGTCGCGTTAAAAATGCATGGTGGACGGAGAAGGCGAAGCAGATGGAATGCTACGCCGAATGCCGCCAACACAAGGAATTCTTTGACTCCTTGAAGGCAGTGTATGGACCGAGATGGGAGCCGCTGAGGACACTGATCGATGGTGGTTCAGGCGCTACCTGCACACAGACTGCGGACATAATGCAGATCTGGCGGAAACACTTTTTCTGTCTCTTGAACAACCGTTCAGAGATCGACTGGCCTACACTGAACGGCCTCAAGCAGCACGATGTGAAGGCGAATCTGGCGGCCACGCGGAAACTGGATGAGAGGCAGAGAGCACTTGCTCAGCTGCGAAACGGCAAGTGTGCTGGTGCGGACGGGATCCCGCCTGAAGTATTGAAACATGGCGGACCCGCGTGGTTGACTGCGCTGCACCACTTGGTGCAACGCGTATGGATTGAGAAGGAGGTGCCGCCTTAACTGAAGGATGCCGTTGTGCTACCACTGTACAAGGGCAAAGGTAGCAAGCAATGTTGCACGAATTATCGTGGCATCAACTTGCTGACTTGTGTGGGCAAGGTGACTGCCCGCATCCTGCTCAACCGCCTCATCAGTCAGATTGTGAAACCTAATGTGTCGGAGGAGCAGTGTGGATTCCGTTCGGGTCGCAGCACCATCGATATGATGTTTGCGGCTCGTCAGTTGCAAGAGAAGTGCAAATAACGACACAGCCATTGTACTCGCTTTTTGTTGATTTTACCAAGGCATTTGATACGGTGAACCGCGAGGCATTGTGGTTGGTGTTGGGTAAGTTTGGTTGTCCGCGTTAGTTTGTAAGTTTAATTGAATGTCTGCACAGTGGTATGCGAGCGAGGGTGCAGCTGAGTGGAGAGACCTCGGATGACATTGCGGTTGTCTCTGGTGTGAAGCAAGGCTGTGTCTTAGCTCCTGTCTTGTTTATTATATATCTTCATGCAATGTTGTCTTGCGATTGCTATGCGGCTTTTGTTTACAGTGTTCGTGTGGAGCACCGTATTGATGGTGGGTTGCTGAACATCCTTCGTTTCGGTGCGACAACTCTAGTCTGTGAGACAACTATCCGTATGTTGTGGTTTGCTGACGACTGTGCGTTGTTTTCACACAGCGCGGATGAGTTGCAGCACATGACTAGTGCTCTGGCTTGGACAGCGGCCAAATTTGGGCTCACCATCAACGCAAGCAAAACTGTCTGTCTCTTTCAGCCTTGATCGGAAGTGCAATCTTCAATATTGCCGCGAATCAGCATTGGTGCTGAAGTATTGGAAACCAGACGAAACTAGACGATATTGCCCTAATCTGTGACAGCTCCCAAACATGCCAAACTGCACTGAACCGATTAGCATTGGCTGTCAGTCGTTTTGGGCTATGCTTTGCTCCATCAAAATGCAAAGTACTTCTCCAAGATTGGCAGGGACCCAACCCTGCGCTAACGCTTGCTGGTGATCTGCTAGAAGTCGTTCAGGAATTCAAGTACCTGGGCAGCTATATTAGCACCCGTGGGATTGAAGATGAGGTTACGAACCGTATAGCAAAAGCTA